TCTTGAAAATTTTAAAAATTCTTTTCTTGATTATAATATTAGGGGGGCATTGGGTACATGGGCTGCTGGTGGTGTTTTAATTATGATTAAGAAAAAATATAATATGATCGATTATGGATCAGATACTAATGGTAGAATAATTTATATTAAAATTGAATGTAATCATGTTCCAATAGTATTAGTCAATGTTTATGCTCCTGCTCAAATAACAGAACGATGTTCCTTTTTTAAGGAATTATTTTTATATATTCCTTCTACCAAATGGATTATCATCGGTGGGGACTTTAATTGTACCCCGAACAATCATCAAGATAGAAACAAATTAGGTGCACAAACAGACAATCTATCTTATCGCATTTTACTTAAGGAGGTGATCAATCCACTATTGTTAACTGAAATATTTAGACGTAAACAATCTAGGAAAATGATTTATTCATATCATGCAAGTGCAGGCAATTATCATAGTCGAATAGATCTGGTATTTGGTTCTGATATTATATACAAAAATACACATGATATTGGTTATGTTCCAGTGGGCATATCAGATCATGACGCATTAGTTTTATCTATTAAAATACCACCATTAACCGATAAAAATATGCATCGTAGATGGATATGTAATCCTAATGTAATTAAAAGGAAATCCTTTTTAGAAAAATTCCATCGAGTATGGAACATTATTATCAACACAGCTGATCTTAATACAACTGAATGGTGGAAGGATTTTAAGACAAGCCTAATTATGATAATACAACAAGAAGAAAAAGAACTTAATCGTGAAACTCGACGTGAATTAGATGGATTATCTAAAGAATATCGTTTTAGAGCAACTAATCCATCCAATGATGACTTAGCACAATTAGAGATTATTAGACAAAAACTTCACGACGCATTAACAGGAAAATTCGTTAATAGCATTCCAAGTCAAGATGATCGTGATTTTAAATGTCTTAGTAATTTAGCTAGAGTGAGATTAGCACATGGTAAAGCCAATCAATCTAGAATTGCTTATCTTACTCACCCATCTAAAGGTCGTGTTGAAACAGATAATGGAATGATGGAAATTTGTTGCAATTACTATCAAGATTTATATAATGTTAAACCAATCGATACATATTATTGGAGCGAGTTATTCGAAGATATAACAACACTCAATCAAAATGATATCGACTTACTTGATCGTGATATAACATCGGATGAATGTTACGAAGCCCTTAAAGCTATGCAATTAGGTCGAGTTCCAGGTGATGATGGTTTAACGATTGAATTATGGAGATTTATTTTTCCAATAATAGGAGGTCATTTTATCAGGATGGTTAATACAGCTAGAGACAAAGGTCACTTTCACGATGGATTTCTTAATGGTCTCCTTACACTATTAAAGAAGGAAGGTGAATTTAATGGAACGATGAAAAATTTTCGACCTCTCTCACTCATGAATATCGATTATAAAATCATAACCAAAGTATTAAGCACAAGACTAAAGAAGGTTATGAACAAAATCATACATTACAATCAAACATCAGGTATTCCCGGGAGAACTATACATGATAATATACATTTAATACGTACAATCATAGACTATCATTCAAGAAACCGTATACCTTTAGGAATTACAATGTGGGATCAAGAAAAAGCTTTTGACAGAGTGAACCATCGTTATTTATTTGAAGTGCTAAGGCAGTTTGGATTTGGCAATAATTTCATCAATATGATTCAATTGTTATACACCAATTCCACATTTACAATTAAATTTAACAATCTCCTGAGTAAAAAATTACTCTTTAATTCAGGAATTAGACAAGGTTGCTCACTTTCTGGTTATCTATATGTTATGTGTTTAGAACCTTTGTTAAATTTAATAAGAAAAAATCCCAAGATACCCGGTGTTTTAGTTCCAGGTAGTCAATATAGATCACTTGTTAATACAATTCTTCAAAACGATGAAACAAATATTGTAATTAAAACATTAGCATATGCTGATGATGTATGCACATTTGTTTTTAATATCAATGACGAATTTGAAACTTATGAACTGTTTAAAAAATATAGTTATGCATCAGGTGGTAAAACAAATGATACAAAAACAGTTATCTTTTGGATAAGTGACTGTCTGGATCCTCCTCCTTTTAATGCAAAAATTGAAAGAGAGAAATGTACTTTCCTGGGAATACCAATGGATACTCAAGGCCAGTTACCACATGAAGAAATTGATAAAATGGTAAACAACATCAAGAAAGAAATAGGACTATGGTCCTCAATAAGACTATCTTTATGTGAAAGAGCAAGTATTCTAAAATGCTTTATAATTAGCAGATTGGTATATTTGTTATCATCAATGTTAATTAATAAAAATGTAAT